GGTGTAAAGTTACTCTCGTGTAAGCGATTTACACTCGAGTAAAGTGTTGGTGAAACGCTCCAAGAAGTCACTCTGGAGTAAACATGATTTACTCCAGAGTAAACTCTTACTCTTTGTTTGGTGAAACCGGCCCTTAGTATATTCCTTGATAAAATCTTGAAATGGGGAGGAGGCAGGTTATGGGCAGATTTTTTGCCTATATTATATGCCGAATATATTTTTTTACACCGTGTCCACAGAGTAAGAGAATTTCTCGTACACCATGAGTGTCTCACGACGTGATTCGATTCCGTTCAGCGACGTGATCGCATAGAGTACAAATATCTATCCCTCCTACGGTCTAAGATATATCTTATACCATAATCCCTCCTCTATGCATGAATGACGCACCTGACGTTGAAACGAATCAGCCTTACAAATACACCTTGCGTTTGAAGTAAATCAGCTGTTAACGGTTTCATCCAATCAAGAGCTTGAACGTCACCGTAGTGACGTCACTAGTGACATAAAGCGATTGGATGAAACCGTCGACAGCTATTTTACTTCAAAAGCAGCTGTAAATAAATCCTACTATACTTCGGCGCACGGCGCGCGTGTGACCGCATGAGCATGAGCGAGTATGAATTTGTTACTTCTAAGTGAAACTTAACGTTGTTAGAAAAAGTGAATAGTTCACTTATATTTCACAGTTATTGGCAGCGAAGGGGTAGATGCAAGTGCGTTCCTTGTTTTTAATGTAGATCTTCCCCAACTTGTGTGAAACGGATTATTGGGCAATTTGAGGCTGGGAGGGTAGTTTTACGTACTGTATATTCTTACGAGGGATAAGATTCAGTTTGAGTCTTTAAGAAATTTACTGATAATCATTGTTTACAGTAGTTGCCTTATATTTGTCGTTAAATATGAGTAATAGTGAAACTATTTCTCAGAGTGACATGTCAATAGAAAAGAGTGACACTCTTCAAGATAAAGACAGAAGTTCAATTGCAAATCTTGATGTAGAAATGGATGAAATACCACATAAAATGAAGAAAGAAACTGAATTGGATGCTGCTTCAATGGATAATGAAACTGATGATCCTTATGCATATTTGAACAGAAATGATTTTACTTCAGAAAAATTTAAGATTGAAATACGAGGCTTACCCAAGTTTTATGGAATAAATGTATGTTGAAACCAAATGTTCTTGTAATAGTTGCTGGTTATCCTTCACTACAAATCAATTTGTGTACTTTTTTAAATATTTTACGATTTTCGAAAATATTATCTGAAGTTACCCCATAATTGTAGTTTCTTATACAACTGTTTGTAAGTCAAAGCATGAATGCTGAGCGACTCGATGCTGTTTTATGAAATCGACATTTTCTATTAAATATTCTTTCTATTTATTTTCTATTAAATATTCTATTTTAATAAAACAAACTTGCTTTTATGTTGGTGAGTAACTTTTCAAATATATTGAGAATAAATCATGAAGAACATAATATTTAGTGCTCTCTTGTTTGGTCTTGGGAATGCTTGTTTTTCTCCACTTCTTTGTTTTAATACATTCTATTTATATGTGTACTCTGGTATGTTATTTCTACCCATATTCATTGCAAAATTTGTATCAGGAGAAATTCCCTAATTTTATTATTCCTTTCCTTAAAATCAGTATGGTCTAACCCATAGGCTGTATAGTACCCTTGTATTAATTTTGTTGGCATTCCTACTGGATACAAACTATTAAACATTTGGGGGAAGTCAAATACTTGCCTTGAGGTGCTTTGCAACTTTCAAATGGAAATTTTATAATCTTTAGGCTGACCCATTCTACCAGATGAAAACTTGTAATGTCCCTGAAATTTCTAAATATCATTTCACCAAACTGCTTAAATTCTTTCTGCAAATGTTATCACAGTGTGGCAGTATATGTGTGTGTAAAAGTTCTTATTCTTTTCTTTACTTCTTTTCTGATCTCAAACAATTGAAAAACGCGAAATTACATTGATAGTGTTTCACTGGAATGGAGCATGAGACTTTGCCTTCCCAAATTTGGAGTGGACATTGATAAAGTTGTATGAGAAAGACAGCGCCAACAATCACATAGATTTTTCAATTGTAAAATAGTGATATTAAACCAGTGCATTATATCTAATTCACTTTCTTAATATGTCTGGTGCACACTTTTTTTTTGTAAAGTTTGATTGGCCTCTTTTGTGGCTAAATGTTGGACCACACTGCATTAAATCCTTCAATTCTAACAATTATGCAGAAGCTCTTTAATTATGAAACTTAGTACTTTGTAAGATAGAAAACAAGATTTTCTCTTTTAAGTTATCTTTTTTTACATTTTCCATGACAGGTTTTACCTCTATTGATCCTTCAATGTTTTGTTTTCTTTTTAAATAGCAACTGCGGAAACTTTTGAATGAGAAATTACAGTTAGGGTGCAACAAAGTAAAACCATTGAAACCTGGAAGTTATTGGGCATTTGTATGTTTCCGTACTGAAGAGGATAGAACTCAAGCATTAAATGTATTAAATGGATACAAATGGAAAGGAAATGAACTTACTGCTCGGGTAATTAAAAATTGTATTTTTGTTACATATGAATAATAGAAATAAATGTTAAATTTTCTTTCTGCTAATTTATTTCATTATATTTCTTCAATATGAGAAACTAATAGAAATATTTCACTTCAGATTTGAAGATTATGAGTTCAACTATTTATTCAACATCCTTATTCTTGTAGGTGGCAAAGCCATGCCCTGATCCATTAGTGATGAAAAGAAAAGGAGAAAGTCAAGGCAGAACAGGTGCCTCACAGAACAAGCTGGCATGTGTGGAGAATTTGCCATTAGAAAAAAGGATCAAGGATAGTGTCTCTCCACTTTGGAACTTACCGTACAAAGAACAGGTACTGAAATAATTACTATAATTATGAATCTTTTTAAAGTTTAATAATGTGCCTTTTTGTTGTTACTATTTATGGGAAAATACATATTTTTAACTTACAATAATTAGTATTAAATTGCTGAAAATTACTGTTAATGTCATAAGGTGCTATATGTACATTGTGTTACCTCATTTCTGTTTAGGTTTGATCCATTAAATTTGTGCAGTCTCTTGAAAGTCAGTGAATCTTCATCATGTTGTTCCAATAAAAATGTAATAAAGCTAAATTCGGTCATGCATGCATGCTAACATGAAGTAATGTATTCACTATGGAAATAGAGAATGTGTTAAGCGTTTTTTCTGGTAGAATTTGGTGTTTAGGTTATATTTAATGTATTCTATTTGAAGAGAGGCTTGTCAAGTAATACTCTGTTAGAAGTGCTACTACAATACAATATTTAAGAAAATCTTTTATACTGATTGAATTGATTACTGCAAAGGTGTGGCACTTCTATGAGAGAATTCCAGTATTCTGCCAGATCTTTCAGAAATTTTGGGAATGCCTGATCCTTCAGAGCTATTTTTGATTATTTTAGATTTGTTAAGAAGCACAAGGCTCTCGAAAGGTGTAAAAAATATAAAAATCTGCTTCTTGTTAGTCTTTTCATATTTTCAGAAACCCACTATTGAGTGTTGTACATAATTTACATTGAAAAAGTACAGCTCATCTTTACTGAGACAAGTAATGACATGCTGATTGACCTTCCACTCATCCCAAAAGTCTTATGGTAAACTAGAGTGAGGCATGGTCAGGAAAATTGAAGTTTCAAACTTCTTCATCTCTCTTAATCTATAACAATCTTGCAGTACTTTACCAAGTATTAATATGCATATGTAATGCGGTATTTCAATTGAGATGTCTACGATAGAATCTGTTTTACTAAGCATTGTTGCTAGCATGAGAGATTCATTAACAGGGATGTTACTTTGTGTTCTGTAGAGTTCATTTTTATTATAATAATTTTAATCAGTGCATCAGGTTTAGAAGCTGTCCATAAATTATGTAATGCAAATTTGGAGTATTTTGAATACACCCTGTAACACACACTTGATTGCATTACCTACCTCAAATAATTACATAACGCTTGTGACAACATCCCCTATTTACAATGAGTAAAAATCAAGTATATGACAGTAAAAACAATTTGTATAAATTTTATTTGTTATATATCAAGAGTTTTGATAATTAAAGTCAGAACTAGTTGGTGATGCTAACTGCAGATAATAATACGGACAATTTTTAAATACAACATGATGAAGATTCACTGGGGAGGGGGAGGGAGAGAGAACGAACAATTAAAGAAATTATCCTGAAAGTCTGAAGCTCAGGGTTATTTCAAGGGGTCTCAGTGTCCTTAAGTCGCTGTGTGGAGAAGATCACAGGAAGAAGATGAAAGACCTAAGGGCTTATGAGTTGCTTCTTATGCTTTATATTTATTGAAGTACAGAAATGGCGAAATATTAAGCTTCCTATTTTTTTCCTGAGTTTAATGGCAGAAAAATAAAAAACATCAAAATAATTTTTTTATCTCAAAGTCTTTCCTTAATAGTAATTTTCTTGACAAGTGCTACAAAATGCTAAATCTTAATTTTTAAAATGTTTATTTTTCAAAGTGCGATTTAAAGTGGTAAATTGTACTTTCACTAGTTGTGAAATATTGAGAGGAGAGCAATTTTTTAATTTCAAAATTGTGAAATTCTTCTGTATGTTCTTAATTACCTTTATCATTATAGTTCTTCCATAAATTTCAAAAGCTTTAGTCAGCTTTTTCAGTTCATGAATTGGAGGAATCTGGCAATGAAAAATGAGCCCAGCTACCACAAAAGTTATGCTGCGTGTCCACCAATATGAGAACATTATTACAGATCTTTAGAGTGTGTGTAGGTGTTTTAGGATGAAAACAGTAGTTGTTAATCTGAGCAAGGAGCACTTTCTTAATAGGGTTAAAATTAAATGTATAACTATACAAAGGGGATAAATTTGTTGAAAGAGTGTGTTCAACAAATATTGAACCTTCCAATTACAAGAACTGTTTAATCAGAGTTGTTTCTCCCTATTTTGTTTTCAAGATTAATACTTGTTACTAACAATAAATTTTATCAGGAGCTCTAAAATAGTAATAATTTCTAATTTTGTGTAAGCACAACATAATCATCCATGTTTTCAGTTAGGTGTGAAGGAAAAAGCTGTGAGAGGGGTATTATTGCTTTGGGCTAAGGAAATTCAGAAACTAAACCCACAGTTGAAATCATGGCTGAATTGTCAACGGGAAAAGTATGATGGTTTGCCTTGTGTATTACATGACATTCGTCCCTCACCAAAACTTACGGAGTATCGCAACAAATGTGAATTTACTGTTGGTAAGTTTGATTCTATGTTTGTTGAAATAATTATGCTTCTGAGATTTTTAGACTCTAAATATGTTGTTGTTCTGCAGTGCCAAGCTTACTACTGATGTACTAGTGTTCTCCTTTTCAGTCATGAATTTGGTTACACTTTTTTCGTGCAAGTGATTTTGTGATATCGGGTTAGGTTTTTAACCTCAGTGCTGGGTGGAGATTGAAAGTACTTTTACAGTAATAAATGAGTTCAGAATTTTGCTTAGGGGCTTCAAATGAGTGTAAGGTTTTTTACCTGCAGCACATTTGTAATAAGAGACGACTTTCTTAACTTTCCTTTTGCTGTAATTCAATTATAATAACAATTTTGATGAAGGGTGGCTTGTTTAAATAATTATGCTTCTGAGATTTTTAGACTGTTTTATCTGTGTGCTTTCTTCATATTTAGGCATAAATGAAGAGACTAAAGAGCGCACTGTAGGATTTCGAATTGGGAGCTATATGGATGGCAGTGCTGGAGTAGCTCCAGTGGACAAGTTGGATATTGTACCAGTTCGTATGAAGGCAGCAGCAAAGGTATCTTGAATTGTAAAGCAATGTTCATAATTTGGTAGATAAAAGTTTTATAGAAAATAGTTGAATGTTAACTATAATTTTTAAATTGTACTATGCCTGTCAAATTTCAAAACTGAAAATTCTTTCAAAACTTTTTTTGACTATCTTTGATGATTATGCAGTTTCTGGAAGATGTATACCTACATGGACTTTTATTTCATGACACCATTTTTTTTATTGATTTTTTAAAGTTAACAAGGTTCACATACCAAATTATAAAGGTCAATTATGTCACAGCTCTTTATGAATTCAATAAGATACTCTGATAATAAACTTAGAAATTATTCAAAACATACACCCACATAAGAAAGAAATCAAGAAAAGAAAATAGTAAAATGTATATTGACATTCACAACATTGAATTGTGTTAACCTGTATCACATACTACCAATTTTGTGATTCTGAGTGGTTCAAAGATTGCATATTCCTGCATCACTAGGTGCAATAAATTTAGCTGCTAATGCATCTCAATTGTGCAAAATCAACAAATGGTGATGAGTGTCGGAGTTGGTAACGTGATTCAATTACTTCTCTGTATGCTGTTTCTTTAGTAGGTTTTCTAAGGTAGCAAAAGTTTCACTAATTTTGGAAGAGCCACCTTGTACCTATTCTGAGGCATACTACCGTTGTAGCTTATACATTGTTTACGTAGTAAAAAACAAAAAGAGATTGAAACTTCTGGATGTACTATTGGTGTTTGGAAGGATATGTCCCCAGACCAGCAACTTCTGGGGCAGTAATGCCCTAGTAAGAATTACATTGTTTACACGCTCTACATTGTTTGAGTACAGTTTTGTTTTTCCCTTAGATTTTTGAGCAGTTTGTTCAAGCCTCTCCTCTGGGAGTTTTCTGCCCTGAGACACATGAAGGTGTGTGGCGACAGCTAATGGCTAGACTATCTACATCTGGTGCTCTCATGCTGGTGATTGGGATTCATCCTCAGAATCTTACCCCTGAGCAGTTGGTGGATTTGAAAGAGAAGTTAAAAGAGTTCTTTGCAAATGGTGCTGGTTCAGAGTGTAAGGTGGATTCACTTTTTCTGGAACTTCTTCCTGCCAGGTTTGTGTATTTCTGCGTTTGTATTGATAATTTGGAACTGATATTTACTGTTTTACATGAGTAAGTTTATATTGTTTAATCCAAAGAGCTGCAACTGAAAAGAATAAGTAATTGTTAGTCCTAAACATTCATTTTATAAGTTGAAAAAAACTGTTTTCTCTTTTGTTTTATTATCGTTTTATTTGATGCTATGATTTGCACTTGCAAAATTTTTGTTGCAGAATGGAAACAAATTCAAATTCATAATCTTGTAGTAAATGCAATATGTTGTGTAACAAAATATAAATTTATAATTTTATTGCAGACCATCAGCAGGCAATAGTAAAACTATAGAACATTTGTATGGGGAGACAAGCATATTTGAATCTGTATGCGATCTTAACTTCCGTATTTCACCTGAGGCGTTTTTTCAAGTAAACACAGGAGCTGCTGAAGTTTTGTACAATACAATTGCTGAGTTTGCCAAACTAACTCCAAAAACCACTTTGCTGGATGTGTGTTGTGGAACTGGGACCATTGGATTGTGTTTAGCCAAGGTAAAGATTGGCATGATTTTTTTCGTGTATTATGTTATATTTAATTATAGAGATGGATCAAATATGAACTGGAATGTTTTTTAATGTTGGATTTTGTCAAAACCAGAATTGTCTTCGTATACTGTTTACTTTCAAGATAATTCATTGATAGGAAAGTAGAAGGAAGAGAGGTTAAAGTTTGAATGTATTTGTTTTGAGGAATGGTTGTAAAGTGCCAAACTTGCATTCTGTATGGAGTTGTAGTAGCATTGTTGCATTGTAGAAGAGGAAACTTCTCTAATTAGTCTTTTTGAGTGATATATACTCTTTCAAAAAAAGAGACAGAGAATAATAAAAATAATAATGGACTTTTCAATGAAGTCTGAGGTTTTAAAACATTTAGGAGTTTCACATAAATGGTCACTTTAAATTGAGGGTCAGATAATGATGTTTTATGACATGTTTGTTTTATTGTGTTATTTTTTAATTAATTTTGTCCAAAATATTGTCACCCCAACTGGAACACGACCCCAGGTTTCCTGGATTGCACCTAGTTGCTGTAACCGCCACCTGCTGTAAGCTTCCGAGATGACCAATTCTTTGAACAGTTTCGTATACCCAACAGATGCATTGACTGTTTATAATACAATATTTATTTATATTTCTCTATTTTTACAATACAAAAGGGCTTGTTATTGAAGCGTGTATACCGAAAACCTGGTCTCGGGGTGATTGACAGATTTTTCTTCCCATCATGATGAGCATTGGTTGTTCTTGTGGAAGATTTGCTTCTCTTTATCACAGAAATCTTCTTCTTTGTCTTCTTCTTCTTCTTCTTCTTCGTCGTCATCATCATCGTCTCCTTCTTCTTTGTCTTTGCCTCTCTCTGTCTCTCCCCTCTCCTCACCCTTCCTCCCTCCCCCCTCCCTCTCTCTCGTTGTTGTTAAAACTTCTAGCCTCTCATGTAATTAACTAGGAACAAAAAGAGAGAGGTTCAAACAGAAATACATTTTGCAGCTGGCAGTTATGGTCAGTGAGGTTTGTGATCTTTACTAATGGTACTTGTTTAAGGGCAGACCATATAAAAGAAATCCACAGACATTTCTAACAAAACAAGAACATAAAAATAAATAAATAATTGTACATCGATAATTAAATAAATAGTTTTTATTTGTAAATAAAGTTAATACATAAAAATCAAGAATTTAAACCAGTTTTGTTCGAGTAAGAAGTGTGTAGATGTTGGTGGATTGACTGCACTCGGTTCATGTGGAATAGAGGGCTCATCACCCAAGAGCATGATTCCTTGAAGAGCCTGGAACCCAACAACTGTGCAGTTCTTGAGTAGACACGCTATATTAAAATGTGCATTTTATTTTATTGAGACAAACACACTCTTTTGCAGCATTGTGGTCAGGTCATTGGTGTGGAAATATCCAAACAAGCTGTTGAAGATGCTAAAGCCAATGCAGCTCGTAATAGCATCACCAACTGCGAGTTTTTCGCAGGGAGTGCCGAAGAGTTGTTGTCTCCCATCATCCACAGAGCTGTTCATGACCATGTGGTGGCTGTGGTGGATCCTCCTCGGGCTGGCCTACGTAAGTTGCTGTCGTGTTCGATCAAAAATGAAAGATTTTAAAAATTAACGTTTTGGCAAACAGTTCTTTTTTAGAACTGAACTTCCTTTTCAAAAGTATTCACATGGAAAAAGTCTTAAATTGTTCAAAAATTTGAACTCAATTTTGAATTTGATAGTATCTTTTTGTGACTTATCCCAGAAAATTGGTTATGTGGATTGTTTTTAAATTATTTTGCATTAGTTTTTTATTGTTAATTTTTTAAGTCTCTAATACATTTGTGTTTCTGTTATTTTCTTTTGCAGATCAAAAAGCTATGACTGTTTTACGAAATGCTAAGAATTTGAATCATTTAGTATATGTGTCCTGTGATCCTAAAGCTGCTCTAAACAACTTGGTGCTTTTAACACGTTCAGTGTCCAAGTCATACTACCGACCCCCATTTGTACCAGTATGTGCTGTGCCAGTGGATATATTTCCAGGTACCAATCATTGTGAATTGGTTATTTACATGGAACGATTCAATGAAGATACACATTGTACTCGTGAAAGTGCAGTTGGGAAATCATCTGACACAAAATTATCTAATAACAGTGCTGAACACTCGGAATCAACGAAGAATTGCAGTTCAAAAGAAGACAGGGAGTCTACAGTGGAATAATTTGTTTTGTTTCATAAGGGAGGGGGGGGGAGTACAAGCTGGAGAAAATAAATAATTTTTTCTGTATTTAAAGTATTATAATTTTGAGTTTTTAATTCTATCTCATGAAAACATAATTTGTAAATTGTTTCATGTGGAATTGTTAATGAAGGTGTATCTGTGAATAATTTTGAAAATTGTAATAAAGTACTTTAATACATTTTTCTTTTATTTATATTTACATGTTATACAAAAGGAATGGAAAGTCAGGAACAGAAGAGGGAATTCATTAAGCAAATCAATTAATATTTTCAATTTAACTTATCTCTTTTTGTTTTTCTGGAAAAAGGTTTCATTCATGGTTGTTTATGTGTGTCATGGGAGAGTGAGAAGTCATTTTTATCAATTGAAATACTTCTACTAATATTGAAATTTGTTTTTAAGATATCTTTGAGATGCTGATATGATTACTTTTACATACAAATTTACATAAACTGTTTTGGTGTGTTGTGGAAGAACATTTAGTACACAGTTCTTATTGATCAATAAGATGTTCATTATTCTTTTCTTTTACCAGTCATTATTTTCAATTGTGGATATTCCGGATATATCCTATAAGAGATTAATAGCTACTAGCAATCATAATTTTTACAAATGTTATTAGTTGCCCGAATTTTTTCCGCCAAGTGTGATCGTAATACTAATTTTCTTTTAGCAAGTAGTCTTACACGATGTAGACATGTATTGTAATGACGAATTTTCAAAATCAACGAGCCTTAAAAACTAAATACGTTGCAACATTATCGAGTTTTCAACACTAATCTCAAATGCGCCCTGGCATTCCCACCACAGACGAAACAACGCTGTGCGAGCGCGCTGCGCCACACTGCGTCGAATCGATGATAGCAAGCCGTAATTCCTCATGCAACCTCGCTACAGGACCGCAGGTTTCTTTCCAAAATCTCGTACGTCTCGCGGCATACGAGATACTACTGTTCGCTAAGACACTCACGTACCCAAGATGGCAACACGTATTGTTACGAATTCGATGTAGAACATGTATTTACTACTGGCTCTTCTGTTCATTATATTGAAAGTTGACGGCTGGCTGATCTCGCAAGATGAAATATTTCTGCGGTTAGTGCGATAATAGTGATGGCGGACGAAGAGACGGAACAAGAAGTTAGACGTGCTCTCGATGTTCTTCAGTCAATGATTGACATTTCTGCCGATCGTTTAGAAGGACTGCGGACACAATGTGCTACTAGTGCTGAATTAACACAACAAGAAATTCGCACTCTAGAAGTGAGTATTTCTGTACGCTAGCTGTGGCCTTTCTTCACTGTCATCGACGTTCTGAGCTATTGACGATAGGGATGGGTTATTTTGATTTTGTTAGACGGTATTTGTTATCAGATGATGGTTACTTCTTGTGTCATTTCCTGAAAGCATTACCGGATTATCAATATTTGTTACAGGGAAAGCTGATCAAATTATTTTCGAAACAGTTGGTGACAAAAGCTAAGTTAGATGGAGATGCACTAGCATCAGATTTTAAGCATGTTCCTTCTTTGGAACAGTGGCTGCAAGTTGTCGGTTTGTGTCCCGAATCTGTGAAGGTAAATGTTTTGTTGATAGTTGATCCGTATTTGATTTATATTACTTTAAAGTGTTGTTAATTATTTAAGAATAGGGACATTTATTCTCAATTTTATTGTCTTCAGTGCATTTGTCAGAAAGTGTCAACAATTGAAGCGCTGCAAGAAAAATCAGAGCATGAATTACGTGTTATTTTGACGGATCATTATTCAAGACAAGAAGAAGTTCGTCGATTAAGCCGTGCCCTTCATAATTTGAAGAAATATACTGGTAAGTTCTTTTCACAAATGTCATTGTGTAGTAGCATAAGCCCTTTCCTTTTTTCATTTTCAGCCAGTGAAGCTTTAAGTGATTAGTTTCACTGGTATCGTAATAAAAATAATGACATTTATGAAAAGAGGAGTTATGTTACTCCTTGAAGTGATATGAAATGTGTTGAGGGATTGTAAAGGATTACAGAAAGATGTTGCACAACCGTTCTATGCATTTGCCAACATGGTTATTGAGTGCACTTAAAGAACAGTAGATGAAGCGAGTGTAAATTAAATCAGTGTTTTGCTTTAAGCTGGTATGGATAGGTTATTGTTTTCATTGAAGTTATGTAGATATAAATTAAACAGGTCATTAAAGGAGAATGAAAGGTGAAATTGAAATATAAGATTGTTACAATTTAGTATCATTTAATGGGGATAATAACGATAAAGTTTGCCCATAGTCTCTCAAAGGAACTGAAAATGTTTAGTTTTGATTTTGTACGGAGAATAATTGTTTTGAAATATGTATGTGTTGTCAAAGGATAGAAAAAAATTGTGAATCAGCATTTTGCATAAAACTATTGTTGAACAGTTATAAAGAATAAAGGGCAATATAACATTTTATTTTAATTAGGGAAACAATAAATAATGAAGAAAGTACTGCAATAATAATGGGTGAAAACAGAAATGTATTGGTAGCCTAATGCCTGTAGAAACGAAAAATTTATTTCAAAGTTAAAGTTAAAAATTAAGTGGTATATAAACATTTCAAACACATCTTAAACAACCCAACATATTTTCAAATACCAAAATACCGCATAAACTTTGAATTTCCCTTATTTTGAAATTGCTGTGAGAATTAGCGAAAATCTCATACTCTAGTGTTAAATGACATGTGCTGGGAGAGGGGAGGTGAAGGAATTCAAAATGTAAAAGAAAATTTATTCAGCAATGAACATAACTATAAGAGCAGATATCACCAATGAAAGAGAGAAGGCAGTTACAGCTATTCATTGAATGTATGTTATAGACAATTTACAAGCTCTAAATGTTATTTGGTCTTCTACACATGTCAGCAACTGTAACATCATATGTGGCTTTTGGAGTGACTGTCAGTAACAGAGTAAATTCAATTTCAAAAACATTTATTCATCTTTTGTAATATTTAATGTGGAGGTTAATTTTAATAATTATATAAATTTTGAATATTTATTTAATGTATTGTTCTTAAAACTATTTAATATTACTAAAAGAATGACTTATGGGCAATTTCAAATCAAAATTTTGAAATTTCTATTCTAATATTAGTTTTGTTAAATCAATTTTGAATTTGTTCTTTTATCTTAACATATTAAATTACTGATAAGTAATTTAAAATATATATTAGTTATTCGGAAGAGGGTTAAGTAGGAATAGGTTATCATTTTTCAGTGGGTGTTGACTAAAAATATGGAGGGCATTAATTTTGCATTCTTTTCACCGTTGGTACAATTTACTGTGTAAAGTAGCAGTTAGATCAGAGAATGTCTGTAATGGCAATGAAGAACATTGAGAGAATGAATGAATTACTGAAAATTACCTTAATTGTGCTTTGTTTTACACTTCACAAGAGATAATGTTTAATTATGGTATTTTCTAACATACCAATTATGTTTTGTGGCATGACCAGTTCTGAATTCTGCAGAACACTTTGAAGGAGACCGTAAACATAAAATATATGTAGCTGTTTCTGATACCATCTGTGTTTGTTAAAACTCATGAGTGGACTATTCTAAGACTGGGCCTTCATAAGGTCTTTTCTTGTAATTCAAACTGGAATGTTGTTCAGAGCTGTAATGCTAAGCAGATTTCCCTAATAGAGTGCAGCATTAAAAACAATCATGAATGTGACTCACATTCTACACTGATGGCTAATATAAATTGCCAGTTTCTTGTAATTCTCTCGTTCATGCAATTTATGCATTCTGTATTTTTTCTGGCTGATGAACACTAAACAAGTTCCTGCCTACTGAGCATGATGAAGTTATGAAATAATATAGAAGGATTAAAACATACTTGTGCACCTTTACTACTAATATTAAACTGCCTTATATTCCCATGTGGTAGCAGGATTTTGAAAAAGAGAAAATTGAAATAAAAATTGTAATGTTCTCTCAATTAGGTTTATCTTCTTAGCTCATCTGTTAATAAAAACTTTCATCTAATATTTTCATTTTATTTCAGAACAAACCAGTAATTTTTGTAACAAGTTATGTGAATTGAAACAGCCATCATGAATTTTTTCTCTCTTGCTGATTATGAAAGGGTCGATGCTCGTAAAAGTTCTTTGCTTGCCTCCTTCCACAAGTTGACAAGTGCATGCACATACAGATTACACCCATATATCCCAAGACAAAGCTCATCTGAGGCATGTTTCATATGTTACATGTATATGTCCCGTGATTCTCACAGAAAGCATTGGCAAATGTCTACTTAAAACAGAATCTGCTGCTGGAAAGGCAATAGATAACAATATCAGAGGAAGTTGATGACTACCCATAGTGATTCAAAACTTGTTCCCTCTATTTTCAAACAGCTTGTTTGGATCAAGTTACAGTTACAAGTTATAAGCTTGCTTATGCAGTGGTCCTCAAACTATTTAAAAGTCATTCTCATGACAAAATTTATGTTCCCTACAATTAAGTTTCCCTAAATGGTGGACTTTTAAATATATCTCAGTAAATTATTAAGATATAATTATTTTAAATGTAAATATTCAATTTTTTCCATAAAAAATGTAAATAAAAGCATCTAACAACAATCCATCTAAATGAAAATTCAGCACATGGCCATAGTGAATGTTAAAATGGTTGGGAGTAGACTAATGGATTTATAATTAAGCATTGTTTGTTTTATGGATGACTCATTGCTACAGATTTACATCTAACTGAATAATTCAAAACATTATTTATGTATAAGTTATTGTTCTAATACCCATGTACATTACAAATTTAAAATTTCGTGATGCTATGAAATTGTTTCAAATAATAGGAAAATTAGTTACTTTCACGGACATGTCTCCATACATCGTGTTAAAATACGGCCACAAACCTAATGATTTTATTGTTTACTTGTTTAAGTTGCTATCAATATCTTCGTTTATACCTCAAACATTTCGTTTATTTCGCCATTTTATAAAAGCACTAAGAATAGTTTCGTAAGTAGTTCGCGATTTCGAAGGCATCGGAATACACAGATTATCGCTTCTGCTTCCAGGAGAAAATCGTCCGTCAGAAAAGTATTATTTTCTAGCAAATTTCCATAAAAATTCCAAGATTCCATATGTAAAACGAGGTGGTTGACAGTCTTGTGTATGGAGAGGGACCGCATGGCCGCCTACTACGCGCTCTTATCACTATACAAATATACCATAAGATATCTGCTTAACGTGAACAACAAATGCCACATTGCACGCTGCTCAGACAACGCGTTTTGGTCCGATAATCCTCACTTTGGATATTTGAAATGACGCTCAGCTTATTAAATGTAACATTCGATCCATTGAATTAATTTCTTCTGTAATTTGAGCTGCGTAAATGCGTGATTCCCTGTTCCTTAGGTTAAGACACGGGCGTTACCTCATGACGACTATCTAGTATAACTAATAAGAATACTAATAGGTGGTGGTGGCGGCCCAGTCGCTGCCCGTCCTCTCTCTTTTTCTGCACACGAGGCAATCGTCCCTGCGTTCGCGGCTGCAGGATGATGAAGACACTACCGCCGGGGGGGGGGTTGTCACTTAAGCCGCGCATTAAATTATTTGACCACAGATCACTTGTCAGGACTGCTATCTTCGTCAAAGTAATAAGTACACATTTTTTTATTTAGAGATTTTATTTTAAAATTGGGGGGGGGGGATGTAACGCTTTCTCTAAGTCTAAGGATTCGGCCGGTTACTCTGCTTCGCTACCGTGTTGCGTCCGATACCTCCAAAAAATGAAGGTTGATTTCAGTGTGAGGTGACTTGGTAACGTCAGAGCCATAACCTAAATAACTTCGAATCAGAAGTTTCTACATTGGGAATGTCACCGAAACAAAATAAACTACAATATCTACAGAGGTACAAGCTGTGTGTGCAGAACTAATTAAGCGCAAGCTTTTACTTTGCAGCTGATAAGGGACTATTCGTTTGCCACCTTTCATATCAAGATCATTGGCTAAGCTATCAAAATATTTATGTATACCAAAATACTTTTAGAGCAAATTGCCTCGCTACCGCTCGCGCATTTTCTTGTTTTAGTCGAGCCTTCAGCATTCGGAATTGACATAAAACAATATCGAGTCTTAGCAACTCAAGCTTAAAAAGCTTTCTTACGTTAAAGTACAAGATATGTCTTAATTTATTTCGAAATATATTTAAAATTTCGTACTTGGAAAAGCAGAGGATCGTTGGTTTAGACACCCACTTGAGGACGCCAGAAAGGTAATGTTTTGAGTTGCATCAGTTGGAAGTGGGGGGGACCTGGCCCTCGTAGTCGTTCAAAATAGCATAAGGATTTGCACGACAGGGCGCTCTTCTAAACTGTCATGGATATCAGTTTTGTCAGTATGAAAAATTAATAAAACTAATTACCACAAAATAATACCACAGGGCATTGTCGCATAATTGAAGTGCTCCGCGCCTGGTGTTAAGGACGATAGGCAACCACTGTTACATCTAAGTAAGAAAGAGTTGCAGATCCTCACAGAAATACCAATAAGCGTTCATTCTCGTTTCTCACGATTGACTTATTGCAATTTTCAGACATATTTCTTTATAATTAAAACTCTTCATTCGACATATAACGACCAAAACATCAGTGAAGAGTTCACTTTTTTTTGGCAACATGACGCTTAATAATTTGTACGTTAAATAAAACGTGCAAGAGTGAACGCCACGCTAAATCCGAACTTCGAAGTAACAACAAACATAACCCAGTCTTAGGAAACTTGTTTTTGGTTTTGCTTAACATAACATTATCTCTTATGAGTAACATTGTGCGAGTACTCGGCAGTTTGTGTTGCCATGATTTCATCGGTAATCCTGAATATGGCATTGGTTATTCTATTTTCACTCTGCAAGT